AATTCCAATTTCAATAATCTTTAAATCCTGCTGACTAACCTGCTTCTCATAAATGTGTGCTAGCTGCAGTAAGCGTGCGCGCATGTGTGTGGCCTGCTTAAACTGATGTGCAGACTGATGTTCCGGTTATACAGTCACGTCTTTGTTCCTTTTATTTCGTTCTCTAAAAATAAATCACGCGGAACATTTAGACGTGTTTGGCAAGGCCTCGTATCATGTACAACAAAGTGACTGTTCCCCCCCATTACTCTCAAAGCAAGGCTTAATGTTGGTGATTATCATCCACACTATATGATGATCACTGTAAATTTGTGTTTGGGGGCAATTGCAGTATCAAAAGCAAGATATTTTAAGGTGGTTTGCATGCTGAATGCTTAAATATTCTCTTAAATCCTGGAATATTTACTTTTTATTCAGTTTCTTTGACAGACTGTGACCAAAAATACTTCAATAGGGTGACTCATGTCTTTTTCACTTGGGTGTGTCACCCTGCAGCTCAGTCGTAACAAGCCAATAGACTGAATAAGTGTGGAAGAGCAAAGTCACCCTGGAGTATTACTTAAAAATGTGGAGTTTTTGGCCTTTTACTTCTAAATGGGACATGAGCAGCGAAGCAGCAGAGTCCCCTATATCTGCAGTGTTACCTGCTGTGCAGTCTAAGCAGGTTGCCCTGAATAAAACAATGTCCTCTTTTTCCTTCTGTCTCTCCTCCCTCAGTGGAAGCAGCGGGGGCAGCGGCAGCAGGGAGAACAGCGGCAGCAGCGGAATTGGCATTCCCATCGCCGTGCCTACACCCTCCATCCCCAACTCTGGACCAGGTGAGCTTGACAGTGATGGTGACTTAAACAGTAAACGGTAACAATCGGCCAGTCGGTGTCCAAATTATGCTGATTTTCAGTGAGGCTTGTTTTTTATTTTTAAGTGGGTTTTTTTTTTTTTTTTTTTTTTACCTGGATTAGAAATGCAGGGAGAAATATTTGCTTTAATGAGTAAGAAATCTGTGTACACCCTCAGGAACGTTGTCACTTGAGTTCTGGTGTATTTTCCACCCAGTTAAAACAAGATGATGACACTACAGGACTGCTCCGTTTGGCAAGATGCACACCATAGACTTCAACTAAATCAAATCTAGATGTAACTTCCAGGTCTTAAATGGTCACCGAAGGGCGACTGCTCTTGTTTAAAGACGAGTCCACTTTCACAGAAGTCAATGAGAAGATGATCCTACAGCTCAGTTGATATTTGACCTCCGTAAACATCTAATGAGAATGTGTCCTTATACATTAGCTTTAGCTAATAGCTAATTCAACAGTGTTCATTTGTTTAAAGTCATTATCATTATTTAGAGTAAAATAGACAATAAAAACCAGTATGCAAGGTGACAACCTTGGACTTCTTAAACATCTGGGACAGATCAATGTTGCTACTGATTGTCCATCTTTTGGGTACAGTCTATGGTGTGTTCTTTGTGAATCAAACTTTAAACACATACATTTCTCAATCAATATATGGCTAAAAAAATAGAATTTAAATAAGTGATTTAAGCGTAAAATCTGAATATATGATGAAGTTTGTAAATGTATGACGCTATTGGCAGATAGAGAGAGTGTGCATCACAAAGCCTATGTTTACCAGACAGGGATTATGGAGCCCCATTGTGTTCTAAGCACAGCTGATTCTCTATCCTACTGTGTAAATAGGCCAAGCTGCGTGAGGCCTGACACTTTACAGTTAAACAGTAAAGCCCACGTAACACGACGAGCTGCTACACGTGGTGTCGCGCTGTACCGTGATCACGGCGGAGATGGTGCTGCGTTTAACTTTGGAGTGTTGTAGGTTGACGTAGCAGCTGTTTTACCTCGGCGCCGGGATCAAGCCGGCAACACAGGACTTTCCACAGCACTCCCTCTCTCTCTTTCTTTGTGATGTGCAAGCTGGTCGCCATGGAAACACTCGATTCATACCGCAAAGGAGTGTGTCCAAGTGCGCGAGAAGTCGGAGCGCTCCTCTGGGCCCGGAGGGTTCTTAAGTAAATTGATATGATGTTATGTAATTGAGGTGTAGGAGGCGGCGAGGACACGCTCTGCTCCTGCCTCACCGCTAAATGGTCACTAACGTGAGTCCTCCTTTCAGTCCCAACCATGCCTGCTCCCCCGGGAGCCCCTCCGCCTCCCCCACCCCCTCCTCCTCTACCTCCACCTGCTCCTCCCATGGCCGGGATGGCCCCTCCAGCGCCACCACCGCCACCTCCCATAGGTGAGATTCCTCGAAGCTCCAGAGCCGCTTGTTTGACCTCTGCCGACTGGATGGCGGATCATCACCTCGGAGATGGAGATGCACAAAATAAGGGTGCTGTGGGTGCCAATGTCCGTCTGTGCACACTGCAAGCAAAGGGTCCTCTTATCAAATCTTATCATAGCTTTCCTCTTTAAAAAAAAATCAAGAATAAAGCAACAGAAACAGCCGCATCATATGAGAGATTTCTCTGTCATCCACTTAGGCTGAAGCGGTATTCACAAAATGAGGAAACATTATTAAGGAAATGGGGGAGAAAGATAAAAATCGAATTGCGCTCTCGACGAGCGTTGGCCATGACGATCTTTCCCCAGCCAAGAAACTCGCTGAACTAAACACATCAGCCAAAGATTTCTGGGTTGTTCAGCTCTGTCGTTGCTTGCAGTGTGGACAGAGTTTCGTGCTTCTGTTAAGCACAGCGTGACATTTAACTTAATCCTTCATGGTGGTGGTTTTGGTGGTGGTGGTGCTCTTCTTCACTGAAGTGTAATCGGTTAATACAGAAGTCTCATGTCACCTAGGGCCTGGCTAAAGTTAATTAGTGCCTGTAATTTCTCTTAAATTGGTCCTTTACATTTTAATCTCAAGCTGTTGTGGATAATAAAATATGCAAGTTTGTTTTTTTCAAATCTGTACAGATGTACAGAAACGTGACTTTGAGACTTCTATTGCAGGTACAATATGTGGCTCATTTGATTTTTTTTTAATTTCCAAAAACATGATTGTGGTTAAAGCTGCATCAGGCAACACTTTCCTGAACTCAAGATCATTCACATTTAAAGCTGTAAGCTGGTTGGGGACATTCCCGACTCTGGTTTCATAATTAACCCTTTTAATTGTAAATCGGCGTGGCTACGATTTGAGATGAGTTTGCATCTTTAAATCTCCCCATTTGATTGTCAGCCTGCCGTCTGTGTGCCGCATCGCTGCTACTTTCTATTTGCGTGTGCGTTAGCTGTGATCATAGCCTGTGATGAAACAGAAAAACTATTTTTGCAAAGTTGCAAAAAAAGATTGACACATCCCCAAACTCGGTCGTTACTGTAAATGTTCACCCATCAGCGGGCAAAGCTAAAGATAACTTGCTGATGCAGGGTGCGATCTGTTTACACAGATGTAGTGTAAAAAGTAAAACGTTCCTATTGGGCCTAACTTTTAAAATTACAATTGCTGCACCAGCATTGGTAGACCAAGGGGTCAAACAACACGTCACATCTAATACATTTAAAGCTAATTTGTCCCTCTAAACCTGATTTATTGGAAACCTTGTTATGTTTTTATGTAATTAGTTGCCTTTTATTGAACACTGTGCTCAATGCGTCTTTGCAACAGGTTTAGAGAGTGGGTAAGCTGAATTCAGAGATGCTAATGATTTTCACTGGTAGAAAGTAAAGCAGTGCCTCAGTATGGAGACTGTTTGAGCCACAGCAAATGCCACATAATGATTTCAGGGTAATGGACTCCCCAAACCATTCAGCCAGCCTTTTGGGTGCTTCAGATACTCAGCAGTGCCTGATGTAGCTTTAATTTACACGGCCTCTGAATCACAGATTCGTGATGCTGGGATTGATTTAGAGTCCGAGCTCTGTAAAGCTTAAAAGCATCCAGCTGTTTCATCGGTGTCCACCGGTAAGTGTCTAAGCCTGAGCAGCAGCTGCTCTTCGCTCATCGACTCCGGTAATCTTTGTGACCGAGATGATCACTTGAATTGTGCACATTTTATCCTCTGAACATCACAAGTCTCTTTATTTTCCACTTATTCTGCTGGTGACACTGTAGCGAAGTTTATTTGTGGTTGTTTTCCTCTGAATCTTTACTTCCTCTGGTCCCACCCATTCCTATCTCTCCCGAGAGGATGTATATTATCTAGAAATGTGAACAGGAAATGCTTGAGCAGAAAAAAACTTAAACCCCTCCTCGCCCTCTCTATTTTTGTCGGCCACAGCCGCACACATTGCTTCAATCTTCAAATAGTTCTTTGTTGTTGTTGTTTT